TCCTCCTCCTCCTCCTCCTCCCCCTCGTCCTCCTCCCACTCCTCCTCCCTCTCTTCCTCCCTCTCCACTTCCTCCCTCAGATTCCTCCTGTTCCTCCTTTTCATCGTCCTCATCATCCTCCTCTTCCTCCTCATCCTGCTTCTCCTCCTCCTCCTCCTTGTCCTCCTCCTCCTCATCCTCCTCCTCATCGTCGCCTCTTCGTCACCCTCCTCTTCCTTCCTCCGCCTCCATCCTCCTCCTCAACGTCCTCCTCCTCCCTCCTCCTCTCCTCCTCCTCCTCCTCAAATCTCCCTTCCATCATCTCCTCCTCCTACCTCCGTAACACCTCAAACCCCGCTCCTTCTCCTCGTTCCCTCCTCAACGTCTCCTCCTCCTCACTCCTCAACCTTCCTCCTCCTCCTCCTCCTCCTCCTCCTCCTCCTCCTCCTCCGCCCCCATCCTCCTCCCCCCCGCCCTCTTCCTCTCCTCATCCTCCTCCTCCTCCTCCGCCCTCCGCCTCCTCCTCCTCCTCCCCCCGCCTCCTCCTCCGCCTCCTCCTCCTCCTCCTTCGCCTCCGCCTCCGCCTCCGCCTCCGCCGCCGCCTCCTCCTCCTCCTCCTCGTCTTCCTCGTCCTCGTCCTCGTCCTCCTCCTCGTCCTCCTGCTCCTCCTCTTCCCCCCTCCTCAGGAGGACGACGAAGACGAACAAGTCTCAATTCGGAGCCGCGCCGCGCCGCGCCGCGCCGCGCCGCTCGTCGCGCAGCCAGCGCGGAGCCAGCGCGCGGCGAGCCGCGGCCCTCGCCTTTGGAGGGCGCCCGAGCGGCGCGGAGGCCCGCGGCGCACGAAAGGCGCCCGCGGGCGCCACCGAGCAGCAGCAGGGGGCGGCCGCAGCAGGGGCGGCCGCAGCCCGGGTCGAGTTTTTTGTTTTAGGCGTGAGGGGCACCATCAAATCTACACCAATCCGAGGATCCCCCTATCTGTTCTCATATGTTCGAAGTGTCCGCCCCCCCCCCACACACACACACACACACACACACACACACACACACACACACACACACACACACACACACACACACACACACACACACACACACACGCACACACGCACACACACACACACTTCTCATATGGTCGTGCAGGTTCCTGTGGGTCGACGATTGATTAGGTCTGTGTGTTTCGATACTCCCTGAGATCATGGCGTTTTACTTTGCTTGCATCCGGCGGTGTCGCTCATTTCCGGGCCCCATGACCCTCGCAGATCGATCCGGTTGCAAAAATCACGAAGAATGATTGGGTCTGGGGTTCTTGTCGCGATTTTGTGCGATGCTGACTTTGATTGTTGCAAGGTTGGATCTCGGGATTGGACGTGGCCTTACTCCCCGCAGCACAGGCCCGAACAAAAGCCCGGACAACACGAGCGGGCGAAGGCCAGGCGAAAGATGCAGCGGCGGAGCAACAGCGATCGAGCGGAGAACCGACCGGATGAGGGGCAGGAGGGGGAGGGGGCGGAGAGGGGAGCAGGAGGAGGGGGAGGAGGGGGAGGGGGAGGGGGAGGGGGAGGGGAGGGAGGAGGAGGAGGAGGAAGGAGGAGGAGGAGGAGGTGAAGGAGGAGGTGAAGGAGGAGGAGGAGGCAGAGGAGGAGGCACAGGAGGCAGAGGAGGAGGAAGAGGAGAGGGAAGAGGGGGAGGGGAGGAGGATGAAGACGCCCGCGGGGAGCGGGTAAGTCCTTGACGCGTCGCAAGTGCACTGAGCAGGGCACGCTCGTTACACCTGCTTCGCGGCCTTGCTGAACTGGGAACATGACCCAGTGGACAATTAACTTCCTTGCCCGCGACGCAAACATGCCGCGCTCCTGATACGCAATCGCAAGTCGTGGTCGCGAAGCGCGCGGACGACAGCAGCCAGCGCTGGATGCGTCACCTGCTTCTGATTGGCGGTCAGGGTCGCGCACAAGCAGGACAGGTCGCCTGTCGCGTGGGACCGCGCGCGATCGCGAGCCCGGTCCTCCCGATCTAAAATTCTCGCGCAGATAGGGCCCCGAGGCTGCTTCCCTCGTCGCCGAGCGCGTCGCCGGCAAGCCTCTCTGCCCATGGCGCGGCCTCCTCCTTCAGCATTTCCGCCAACCCATCGCGCCGAAAGCGCTTCGCTGACGCAGCGGCCGGCGGCTTCGCGACCGCCCGCGCCACAGCGGGCCCCATCATCACCTGCCCTGTGGCGAACGCCGCCCCTGCGGCCGGCTGGGCCGCGGGCCGCCTCTTCATGCGCCGCGCCCCCATGGCGGCTGGCCAACGGAGCCGCGGGCCGCGCTGGCGCGGTGCCAGACGGGGCCTGGGCTGGGTGAGCTGGAGCCCGCGCGGCGATGACGAGGCGCCCCGGGCTCCCATGGAATCAGCAGCAACGGCCCGGGGAAGTCTCGAGAAAGCCGAGAGACGGCCCGAGACAGCCTGCAGAATGATCGATCGATCGAGGGCGGCCATCAGACAGCTCACGACGGCTCCCAAACAAACGAGCGAGGCCCCAACGCCGTCCGGAATGGTTCGCGGGGGAAGGGCGGAGATATTTTCAATCGCCCGCGCCCAGGGCGCATCCCGACTTACTCTTGAATGATTGCGACCCACCGGCGCTCGCAGTCGATGCATATGACGGCCGCTGCAAATCGCGCTGGCGGGTTTCACAGATTCGCCAACTTAGTCGGCGAATCTGCGGCCGTAGTTTATGGACCCTGGGCTCTGCACGGGGAGCGCTCGAGCTCGCGCTGCGTTGACGCGGCGCCCTGTCGACTGGGAAGGCAGTCGAACAAGCGCCGATGGCACGGCCCCTTCGACCTCAGCTGGCGCGCGGTCTGAATGGGCATTCGACGCGAGTCCAACCGCCTTGACCAGGGCGCTCAGGGCGAGAAGCAGCGGCATCGGTATCTATTCCTCCACTGATCGACTCTCGCACCTCGCTCGCACGGCGCGCTCTCAAGTTTCCCAACGCCCCAGATGCTGCCGCAAAAGCGGCGGTTCACAGCCACACAGGATCCGTCGCTCCGACTGCCATCCAACCTCTGAATAAGGCGCCATCCTGCCCGCGCACCTCGCCGGCCCGCATCCCGGGCCCCGCTAACCGACGCGGGCGACCTCGCTCCAGCGCGAGCGCCGCCATGCGCGCAGCCAGCGCCTCCATCTCGTTGTCGACGTCGTCCGCCGGGCCTGGACGGCGCCCGCCCCCCGGAATTGCCTGGTAGACGCCCGGGCCAGGGAATACTTACATGGTCTCCGCCAATCTCGCCCGCAAGGCCACGCGAGCCATGGCCGCGCGCAGCGCCCGCAGCTTGAACTCCACGCGGACCTGGTCGCGGCGGGCGGGCGGGCGCGCGTTGAAGCCAAGCGCGTCGACCAGGCCGTCGAGCATCCAGTGCCCGATGTCATGCGGCAGCACCAAGGGGTGCGCGCCAACCACCCGCTGGTGTATCGCCAGAACCATATTCATATGCGCATACCCAGGAAATCGGCACAGGGGCGTCGCTCAGCCCAGCAAGTGCAGCTTGATTCAGGTTGGCATCGAGCGCGCAAGGACCTCGGCGAAAAACGCACCCGGATAACAAAGATGAGAACTCCTGGGCAAACCGCGTTGGAAAATAAGTGGGCGTCGATCAATTTCGAAACGTGCTCGGATGCTCGGCTTGGCCATCCCTCAGATAATGGTCCGCTTTGGGGCGCTACTACGTTGGGAAGATCCTGGCGCGAGGCGCGGCATCGATGATGGTGTTCATGGAAGGGCCCGAGGGGCATCCGAAACGGCCCCGTCCAAGCGGGGCCGCCCCCACCTGGCCCCAGGGGCGGATCGCTGCAGTCCGAAATCAAGATGGAGCGACGACCAGAGGAGGAGGAGGAGGAGGAGGAGGAGGAGGATGAGGAGGAGCAGCAGCGCCCTAGAACCACACTTGCACCCCCCTCTGGCGCCGGGTCGCTGTCGGCGCCCTCGAGCACGGGATGGGAAACGAATGGAACACTGGGCCTCTTCCCGTGGCCGCTCGGCTTGAAAAACTCCGCGATCACGCGCAACGTGTCGTCAGGTACGGTTGTCGGGCCTGTCCCCCTACAGGGGGATGTTCGATGAAAAATTAAACATACCCCAAAAATACACCCCAAAGGTCAAAAAATATAAAACAAATAGCCCCCAGACGATGTTTGGATTGACTATCTTTGGGGCATTTCTTATGCTTCGTCGCACATCCCCCTGCAGGGGACAGGCCTGACTTCATCCTGGACCCTGATCAGGGCCCCCAGAGGCCGAAAGTGGGAGAGTCACACTGTCTCCAACGACGCGAGGGCGTCCCCGATAGATCGGCAAGAGGCCCGCGATGTTGAGCAGGGACCGACCGTCCCGGCATTCCCATAGTCATACCACGAAATCTTCTTAGAACCCCAAAATGTTCTAAGAACAAAAACAATGTTCTTAGAACAATGTCAAAACAAGACAGTCCCAGCCAGAAATGTTCTAAGAACATTTCGTGGGAACCACCAAAGGTTCTTAGAACATTGTTTGGTGTGGCTATGGGCGAGCCGGGACGCTTCGCCACTGCTTGACGATGGCGAAACCGCACCTTCCTGGGCGGACTATCGCCAGGACGTCGGGAGGCAGCGGGCCCGGCGGCCGCTCGCGCGGGCCTCCGGGCCCGCGCCCAGCGCCCCGGGGGCCAGCGGCCCATGCGACCAGCAACTCCGACCACACTGACCCCCCAGATTGGTTCTGAACAGGAGGAGGAGGCGGAGGAGGAGGAGGAAGAGGAGGAGGAGGAGGGGGAGCCCGCCCGCCCCCTCGCCGCCAGCGGGCGCCCCAGACAAGGTCTGACCAGGCTGGCTCTGGCCAGGAAACGAGATCGTTGAATCAGATTATCACGTGGCACCCCGCAGATGCGAATCAGAGGGAGGGGGCGGTGGGGACGTCAGGAGGCTGCGAGACTCTGGGGAAGCCCGCCGCAGGCGCCAAATATGCGCACATTATACAACGAGCCCGCAGCAGGCGCCGATCTTGTCGTTCAACCTATGTGGATGCGTCGCGGGTGGGTCGCAAATGGGTTGCGGCTGGGTCGCGGGTGGGTCGCGGGTGGTCGCGGGTGGGTCGAGGATGGGTCGCGGGTGGGTCGCGGGGTGGGTCGCGGGTGCGTCGCAAGTGGGTCGCGGGTGGGTCGCGGATGGGTCGCGGGTTGGGATGCGGGGTGTGTCGCGGGGTGGCTCGCGGGGTGTGTCGCGGGGTGTGTCGCGGGTGGGTCGCGGGGGGGTCACGGGTTGGGTTGCGGGGTGTGTCGCGGGATGTGTCGCGGGGTGGGTCGCGGGGTGGGTCGCGGCGTTGGTCGCGGGTGGGTCGCGGGTGGGACAACGACAGCAAACAACAACAACGCAACAATGCAGCAACGCAAAAAGCAGAATCCCCACCACGGATCCCCACTTCAGCCACGCACCCAGGGACAATGAACGACCGTTCGACCCCCTCCTCCGACTACTCTTCAAACTTCAGAGCTGCTTGAAAGTCTTGCAGCTCAGAATCCGTGACACAAGCAATGCATATGGCACTCCCCAGGGCCCGGGGGTCCGCAGCCCAGAAGACCAGGAATTCCGAAAACACCGGACCCCACATAATGGTGTGCTACATCCGTATTTCACCCCAAAAAACCAAGGACCTGTGGGCCCCTGGAATCGTTTGGGGCCTCCGTGATGCCACTCAAGCTTCCAAGTCTGGACCCGAGAAAATGCCGTTCCGCGCTTTGGCCGCCTGCGCTCGGCGTTGGACTTGTCGCGCGCGCCCGCTAACCAAAAGTTTTAGCCGCCAGGCGCCCGGATCTCCACCCGTCGTCGCCGCAGGG